ACGCAAGAGTCCTTTAAGTAAGTAAGAACACACCCTTCCGGTCTCCTCTCGTGCTCTGGGAGGCCGAAAAGGCCCTGGAAGGCGTCAAGGCCGGTCGTCTTGCTTTCGTCTTCTTAGGCTCTTCTGGAAGTGCGTTTTTTGTTTTTGTTTTTTCGCTTGTTAGTTTTTTCGTTTGATCGTTCGTGTGTTTGTTTGATTGTTTGTTTGATGGTTTTTGTCTGTTTGCTTGTCTGTTTCTTTGTTTGTTTGTGTGTTTGTTTGATTGCTTGCTTGCTTGCTTGCTTGTTTGTCTGTTTCTTTCTGTGTTTGTTTGTTTGATTGCTTGCTTGCTTGCTTGTTTGTTTGTTATTTTGTTTGTTTCTTCGCTTGTTTGCTTGCTTGCTTGCTTGGTTGTCTGTCTGTCTGTCTGTTTGTTTGTTTGTTTGTTTGAAAACACAAGAAGCAGCAGTGGGATTCTGCTCCAGGCGGAGAAGGAGAGCATGCAAAGGCAAATTGCCATGCACCCAGAAAAACACTCAACGCCTGCAAAAGGGGCTCGTCCCTTCTGTGCCAGAATAGCGTAAGAGTGGTGTCAACTTCGTTGCGTTGTGTTGCTTTAATGCTTCCTTGAGGATATCTCGACATACACTCGTAGCTAGTACAACTTCTACGTGAGTCTAATGTTAAGGAGAAGCTGAAGACTGAAGCGGCTTCAAAACAAGCAGGTGCCGAGGCCGGGCCCTGAGACGCTACCGATCCTTCATTCTCAACTCCTCAGCTACTGGGAACCCAGTGGCTCATACTGGGATCGAAGCCGAAGAGGAAAGAACATCTCGGGAAGGCAGAGCAAAGCTCGTCCGAACAGCTCCGGGCGGAGCTCCATTCCCTCCGCCAAGTGTGCGCCTTGGGCCACCCCGCTCTGCCTGCGCCAATCCGTGCTTTTTTCAGGAGCTCGCGTCCGCCAAAGAGGCTCGCGGAGCCGAGGCGCGCAGCGATGCCGAGCGATGGCGAGTCGTGGCACCGAGTGCCTAGGCGCAGCGGGCTGCTGCCGCCGAGGCTGCCGCGAAGGCGCACCACAGCGAGGCCTTGGGCTTCCCTGCATTCCAACGCATGTAGCGCTTGCTTCACGAGGCGAAGCGCCTCGGTGCTGAACTTGCAGAGGCCACGGACCGCAGGAAAGTCTGGAGCTCTTGGGCCTCGAGCTGTGCAGGTTCCGAAGCTGAAGGCGCAAGTTGCCGAGTTGGAGGCTTCAGCCCAAGCGTTTGCAGCGGTTGCGGTGCCTTCGTCTCGTCTGCCAGCGCAGGCAGGCCTGGAGTTGGCTCGCGAGGCGGCGCTTCAGGCGCACAGAGATGCGCAGAGCGGAGCAGTTGAAACCGGCCTGGCCGTTTTTTGTCTGCAGGCTGATGCTGAAGCAGCCAAGTCAAAGTCACGACCACAGGCACGGAGTTCAGGGGAGAAGCATCGTGCTGGGTGAGGGGTGGCACCTCTCTGGACGCCTTCGCGAGTAATGGGCGGTGGGGGATGTTTCTTTGCCTCACGGCTCATGCCAAAGCTTGATGAGCCAACAACACGCAGACATGGGCCTCACCCTGGTCGCCACCAGCTACTGTACAGAGCAAAATTCGAGTAAACTGCAGAATCCTGCAAGCGGTGATGTTCAGGGCTTCTGCGACAACATGACCCTGCATGATGCTAGTCTGCTAGTCACTGCTCTGTTCGGGGCCATGTTTCCTGGTCGCTGCCATGGAGCTCCGCGCCACCTCGGTTGCGGCACCGGCCGGCAGAGGTTGCAAAGAGGGTTTGTGCGTGAAGATCGCATCGCAAGCATATCGCAAGCATATCGCAAGCATAGGCATGCAATTCACCACTGGGATCTGTTCTGTTTTTGTTTGCCTGCGTGCAGCTTCGAGCACCGTGCCGGCTCGGCAAGCGAATCCCAAGGCCTGGGCCCTGGGCCCTGGGTTACAGAGATGATAGAGTTCAGTACGCCAGCAGGTATGGAAATTGTTAGCTCTTTTGGTACTTGCGGGAGGAAGGGGCTCAGAGGTTGAAATCGAGCGGTTTCTTCTAGCATGCAACAACTCGTGATTCACACAGTTGCGTGCTCTGCGCGGCGTGCTCTGCAACAGACGTCCCGCCACAGCTGCTACCGGCCCCAAGAGAAACAACCTCAGTGCCCCAACAGCGCCGGCCCCTCCCCCCCCCCCGCACCAACAACAGAATCACCGCCGCCCAACCTGAGCGACAACAACAACACCCCGTCCTCCAGCACAGCAGCAAAACAAAACACCACCTCGGCCTCAACAAGAACGAAACCCCCCAGCTCTCTACTCTCCGGCTGCAACTGCACTCCCCAACAGCAACAAAGTGAGACCAACCAATCTCTTGCCTTTGCCGTCGGGTCTTTGCTGTTGCTCTTGTGTTTGTCGTGGTTGTGCTCAGCAGCACGCCGAAAAAGACACACTTACCGGCGGCAAACGTGGTGTTGTGCGAGTTGAGGCGGCGATTGCTCAGGCGCTCCCCCCCACCAGTAGAACAGTAGAAAGCAGCAGAGCAAATATAGAGTTAGCAGAACCCTTGCCCATATTGGACAACAACCCCAGTCCATCAAACGATTATTCCTATTGAAGTTGCGAGGGTGTGCGTTTTGGGTAAGCCTGGGGTTTTCATGGATTGGTTCAGGATTAGGAAGACCCGGTTGATTTCTCAACATTTCGCGAAAGGTCCGCAAGGGGGGGGGGGGGTATACTGCGTGGCCAAACCAAGAACACGGATGTTGTAGGTCGTGATTAATTCATAAATTATGGACCCTGAACCCTAAACCCCAGGTGTCGGTCCTAAGCCCTAAGCCGTGAACCTTAGACCCCAAGCCTTTGCTCTAAATCCCCTCTCCTTAGACCTGACCTACCGGTTGAGGGTGAAAATAAGGGTAGACGGGGGGGATCTAGATGCTGGCTTTTTGATTAGCGTAGGGGTCGAGGTGAGGGTTTGTTGGGATTCCTAGGGTGGGTATGGGGTTTTGGGTTGAGTTGGTTGGCGGTGGTATTAAATTACCCGAAAACGGGCAAGGGTTCTGCTAAGTAACAGGTGTTGGGGCTTCTGCCTCAGGTTGAGGGTAGCACCGGTCCGGGGAGTGCTATCCTGAGCAAAGCACGAAACTAGATATAATGCACGATCCTAGACATCAGCACCGCACTCGGTATGCTTGCGCATGAGCGTTGGCCTTCAAAGGCGCCACGCACTCGCTGCTGCAGCTTTCTCGCATCGCAGAAACTGTTACTTGCACAAGTCTTCTCCGGAGAAGACTTTGGGCTGCAGCCCTGTGTTATGTGCAAGCTCAACCAAAATCAACGCGCAGTGTGTTCCTGTGAAGGTAGAGGACTAGTCATACTGTCGGAGGGAGTCCCGCGTTTGTTAGTCACTGTGGCAAACCTATCACTCGGTGAATCAGTGAGTTGGATCTCTCCGGCAGGCCTTCAAGCTACTTGCAAGGCTTCTGGATCCACAAGTCTCCAACGAAGAGGCCGTCTCTGTGTCAGCATGGTTAGGAAAGGGGAAGGGTTTTTGCTTAGTTTGTGTGGGAGGCAGTCGAACTTCTACCGAAGCTACTGCGCCGCAAAGTACTTCGGAACACAAAGGAGGCAGCAGCGTGGTGGGGGCTGGAACTGCGCGCAGACTGCCCGTCATGTAAGATGCCACCAGGTCACTGTGGCCATCGGTGCTTTGTCCAAGCGGACGTTGTATCAGGAGGCTGGAGAACGGAGAGCCATCTGCAATGTTGTTTGCTGGTTGAAAGGCTGGCGAGTTCGCTTTGGCCGCCTGCCGCTGGAGACCGGATGACCAACGTAGCCGAGCTCCAGAGCCCAACGTGGCCGTGTGCGGCGACTTACGAGAATTCAGAAGTATTTATTCGCTCGTCCAACCCTGTGCTGTCCGGTTTGTAGAGGACTTGGGGCTTAGGGATCTGAGTCCGGAGTCAGGTGCGGCCCTCAATGCGGCCCGGCGGAGTCGCGATGGCTGGGTGCTGGCACTGCAACTTATGGAGCTGCCCAGCAGAAGTGAGCTACTGGTACATCTCTCCCCACCCCGTTAAACCAAGTTAATTTGAGGGGAAGTTTAGAACCGGTTTTCTACGTTGCGAAAACATCAAAGCCTGAAATAGATCTAGGCATCGCTGGACACACACAAACATGCAGACTGCACTGTCCTCCCGTCCACATGTTAGGTGCGGGATGGCGTCTAGCTTGAGATAGCTAGCAGCTAGAGTAAGCTCGATGTACGTTGCTTGCTCATGAAGCAGGAGAGTGCTGAGGTGCGCGCGAGAGGCGAGCGTGCAACTAGACGAAGCTCAGCTGCAGTAGTCTACAAGCGGAGTGCAAGAGCACCGCAAACAGAGCCGGAGAACAGGAGACATGCTACTAGCATTTCGTATGTTTCATTCAGATACCTCCGTATGATTCTGTCTGTGTCTATGTCCAAGACGCGTCTTAAGGCACCGGGTTCTGACGCAGCGTTTATGGCCCTGGCCTCCGCCCCACCTGACGATGCGTGGAGGCAAGATGGGGTTTCTGCGTGCTCTGCACACTTGGGTTTATGCGGCTTGTGAGGCCTGTTTCAGGGGTTGTCTGTTTTTCTGCGAGCCTGTCGTCAACTCTCGCATCGGTGGCCACGGATGCGACGGAGGTCAGTCGATGCTGTGCTTGACGTTTGCATGCTGCGGGGCAAGAGCCATCCTGCATCTTCCCCTCTGTGAAGGCTCATGGCGGACCACACCAAAAGCAGGGAGCCAGGACCCAGGATCTGTGCCTTCTACCAGTCGTAAGCTAAGGGAAGGATGACAGCAGGTGTCGCCTGGAGTTGTGTGAAGGAATCACTGCGCTCACGTTCGCCTCAGCACATTTTGGAAGATTGCAGCAGCACCTCGTCTTGTTCAGCTCGGGGCGCAAGAACGGGGTTCCAAAGAGCTAAGCATGTGCTCTGTTCCTGAAGACCAGTTCCAACATTGAGGGGCAAAAGCTCAGGTGGCAGCGTGCTGCGGACTTGATCCTCTCATCGCGCTGCGCTGACACCACGGCTTTTGAGGTGGGGAGCATGACTGCAAAAGGACCATGTGCAGTGATACCCGAATCAGAACCCGCTGTCAACTTCACCTGACGTTACAGATCTTACAATATTCCACTAATCCGGGCATCTGAATAGTTAGGGGCCCCCCCCCCCCCAGAATAAGGATCGCGGGCACCGCATTCATGGAATCTCTTTTGGCTCATCCGGCCAATACGAAATCCTGCCGCATTGAAAGTAGTATTCCAGACCCAAACCCGGCCGAAATATCTTTCCTTAAATCTGGGACCTTTATAAATTCCCATCCTCGGAGTAGCCAAGGCCACGCCGGACTGAAAACATGCTTAGCTGAACTCCCAGGTGCTGGTCGCTGCGGCTGCAGATGCCAGAGAGTGGGCTGTGGCTCTGGCATTGACAGAAACGATGGAGGCCCTTCGGAAATCTGTGCTCGAGCATGCAGCCAACAGTTCTAAAGTTACGCCTGTTTTTCGTGGTCCTCACGATTGCGATTGGGGTCTGCGATGGTGTGCGGCCGAAAGCAGAGCGAATAAGCAGTTTTGCCATGTTTTGCGTTCGAGGTTCAAACCTTTCCCCCTGTACCTGTTTAACCCTCGTGTTTGCCATGCCATCGGGCAGAGCTGCCGGCTAACGTCACGCCGACAAGTCAAGAAGATAGCTTGAACCCTGGCCTTCTGCTCCGTACGAGAAGGTTTCGTGGCCGCAGGATGCTGAAGGTCACTATGCAAAGGCACCTTGCAATTCCCCTTCGGTTACGGTACGCCCTCCACTTGGAGCAATCAGCGTGGCGACTGCGCAAGCAACTGGAATGCAGCAAGCACGCAAAGCCAGCACAGGACAGTACACGACCATGTCAATGTCGCCATAGCTGGGCAGAAATGAAGGCTGTGGCATCACAAAGCAGCAGAACGCTCACAAGACATGGAAGGCCAATGAGGGAACCGAGTTTCGGGCTGCACAAGTTCGGAATCATGGAGAAATTGCTGAGTCGCCCAACATCCTGTCCTTCGAGACGCCACGAAAACATTCATGCAATCCGAAGTACTAGTGACTAGCACGATAGGAATTGCTTTCTCGCGCTGGGTGCTCTGCGACTCGATGCACTCGTCTGAGCAGTGCGGGAGAGAAAATCGAAATATCGACAGGCCTTAGCCTACCTCAGCCTGGTCTTCGAATGCTGACGTCAGGTCCGCCTGGGCTTTGCATCCGGCGGCGCCTTGGCCACGGCGGCCGCGGCGGCCAGGGGCCCATTTTCAAAACGCGTCGGCACGGAACACAGCATGAGAGTAAGTCCTCGTCTGAGACTTTCAGAAATCTCGCCGCAATGCTTTCTCAAAGCCAGCCGGACCCGGGCCTCCTGCAACTCCACCAGTTCCACGCGGCCTGGTCCTCGGGAAATCTGAGGAGTGCTTGCTGCGAGTGGCGCGATTCCGAGGTCTTCCAAGGCAGCGCTCGCAGTATGGGTTGCTCTGGATCAAAGGCAGCGACCAAGAAGGCAGAACTTGGGGAGCGTGGATTAATGCATAACTTCACGAGTGAGGAGGTTCAACCCTTCCAAAATCCAATGGAATGCAATGGAGTTGCAGTGGCGAGCGACGATGAAGCCCAAAAGCACGATTTCGGGAGGCGGCACCAGTCGACAAGCAGGAAGAGGCCGATCATGCACTTGGAGTGGCAAAAGCGCTCTCGGAATACGCCTGAAGGAGGCATCACAGCAGGTTTTGCTCATCGTATCATGTGTGGTTTGGCAGGCACCGACCGCAGCTCCAGAAGCTGTCGACGCTGAGGCACTGTTGTCTCTGGTTGGTGACTGTAGAAGCCCCGGCAGAAAAGAGCCGTAATGTCGCAGATTTCTGAGGAGCCCGTGCCTGCTGCCCAAACAGAAGTAGTGGAGGCACATGCCGAAGTCACAAGCCTCGCGGCCTCGCGAGACTTCTTAAGTCTTAAGCGTTCTTGCACGCATTCAACTTCGACAGTCGACAGGAGGCGGCACAGGAAGCTCCTGCGGTGACCGTGGCGGAGGTGAGTCGCGCACATGCACAGCACCGATTCGCAGTCTCCCTTATGTACAGGCAGTGTCTTGATAGAGTCTGATAGAGTCTGCAAGTGTGTGGTGTGAACATGAACTCACAGAATCAAGCGCCTCCGACCTGCAAAGAACTTCAGGAAGTCCGAGCCTGCGTGGATGCCGTTGCAGAGCTGAAGGAGCTGCACGTCACCAGCCGAAAAGGGCAATCCTTGAACATGTCTTTTGTCCAAGTTCCCGATTAGAACGAGGACTTGGGTTGACCAGGAGTTGTTTTCCGTTCTACACTGCTTCTGATTCTGCACTTCCCATTGCCGTGATGCACAGAAGGAGATGAGGTTGGAGGATCCCAAAGAGGACGCGGACGGATCTACCATCGAGCCCAAGGAGGACCAGCTTTCAGTAATGTAACTGAGCATTGCATGTTGTCACTGTGCACTATGTTGTCTGGTGTGACTTTCTTCGGCAGCTGCGGAGACAATGCCAGTTTCTGCATCTTGCCAAGTTGCCACGGCCTTTAATCCTTCTGCGAGGAGGCACATGATATTGTGCTTCCCATGGCCGGCGGCTCGGAAACGCTCGTCTAACATTTAGAGATTGGTGTCCTTAAGCCGGCGAAGTGAAAACGTCTACCTGCGCTGGCCAGGTGCAAGTCACAGCGTCCGAACCTCCCAGCAGCTTCTGCGCCTGCGGCCACCCGCCGTGGCAAGAAGAGTGGGACGGGTGGAGACCTCCAAACTGAAGGCAGGTTTAAAGGCACGTGTCCCGATAGCACGAGCTCGTTTTGTAGGTGGACAGTGTTTCACATGCCGGCATGGCCGAGGCTCTCTGTGGTGAGCCACAACTTGGCGCAGCAAAAGCTCGAGTTATTACTGGGCAGTGCCATGCCGAGCGCCTGGAAGAGAGCTTGGGCGGTACTGAGCCAAGGGACGATTGCACAGTGCACAGGGCAGGAGTGCAGTTCAGTCCTCGGTGCTGGACGCAAGTCGCAGACAGATGGGCTCGGGAGGAGCTTGCATCGTAGTCAAGTGGCTCTGCCTGGGCATCTATCACACTGTGACGCAGCCAACGTTCCAATCGTGTTTGTTTTAGTAAGGGAGCTGAATGCACAGCCTGCAGCACCCTTCCTACTGGTATTGTTCGCTTGCAAGGTCAAGCCGCTAATTACGGTGACGCCACTTCGCACTGCTTGTGCATACTGGTCAACGACACTCCGTCGGTTTAGTGATTCAACGTTTCTGATGGGCTCGCAGGGCTGCATGCTGAAAATTGCGAGATGATCACTGCGCACGCATGTACAAGCTTCATGCTTGGTGTGACCACGAAGAGTTCGTCGGAAATCGCCGGGACATCCAAGCTCACTTCTGATCCCGCAAGTCAGACGCGCTGTAGCGCTTTGCAACTCAGGCTGCCAAGGACACCGAGGTGAAGTCGGGCTGCCCAGCACGCACGTCCATCTTCCCCAGGTGAAGCGGATTCGTTTGGACTCGGACTTGTCTACACTTATGCGTTGCGCAGTTTTTCTTTATAGCACTAGCCGGTTTAGGCGGGATGGGAAGCCTGCCAAGAAAACCTGCCGGGGTAAGGCCAAAAGAGTAACATGTCTTGTATAGTATCAAGGGTATCCCGATGCGAGATGTTTCCAGAAATCACCTCACAGAACTGCCACGCCCTCCCACGGCGTCCTGAGGCAGGCGCTGCTGCAACGCGCCCTGAAGATGGGCGGCATCCATGAAGCTTCCCGGCTGAGAGGTTCTACGTTGCAGGTGACCCACATGTTCTGTTGCCCGGATGGGCCTCGGACGGAACCTTCGCTGTGTTGAGGCAGCACTGGTCCGTCTCGCAACTGCCCAGCTGGGCTCTCATTCAGTTTCAGCGTCGCAGCTCTCCCCTATGCTTTCGGCTTTCGATGTAGCCATGAGCAGGGTTGTCGGTTGGCAAAGATATGTCTCAGCTTGAGCCCAGGCCTGCAGACCGCAACAGCTCCTGGCAGTGGCCGCTACAACTGATGGCAGAGATTAGTGGCTATGGGCTGGAGGTCAGCAGTTGGATGATGCTGGTTCTTTGAGATGTCAGTGCCGAGCATTTCAAAGATCGTTGTCCGGGCAGGTGCCTTCGGTCCTGTGCAAGACGGCAATAGGAGTAAGGCTCTCAGTCAACCGGGTCGGGTTACTCTTTGGATATTTTCAGATATTTTCAGCTATGGATAGGTTTCGATGCATGTCAGCCAGCACCACCAGCATATCGATCTTGTCACCTGTGTTCTTGTAATGCATCGTGCCCAGCATTGGGGCTCTGATCACGGCGTCGGCTGCGCCGGGGGTTGGATTTCTCACGCTGCAAGGTGTGCGCATCTCACGGACTCTGGCAGCAGGCGCAAGCAAACAGTGGCAATGTAAACATGCTGCAACAAACATCCTCCGCCCAGGCCATTCACATCCTCAACTCCATGCGGGAAGGAGCCATGCAAAGCCATCATTGTCGGCGTCCGTAGAGGCATCCCTGGCAGGGAGCTGTCTGCCAGATCCAGACATCCTGTGTGGCCGCCTAAGCTCTGGATAACCAACAGGAGAAACCAATGCAAGTCGCTTGGCAAAGCCTTCAGAGGCTTCAACAGTGCGCTGAATGCTTGTGAGCGAGCAGCGCGTCCGGAGCCTGCTGCTGAGCCTGAACCCCGGCGGGGAAGATCTTCGGCCCATAGGAATGTACGCGTGACGGCTACAAACGTAAATTTCTGTAGCAGCATGTCACTCGCAGGTCGGACGGGACATGCCTTCCTTCGAGGTGTCAATGAACATGCTTGTTCAGGCTGCTGCGGGACATGCTCCGGTGTCGAGCATCTCCGGATTCGACTAGCCGCTTGTCAGAGTTGCTTGGTGCCACATGGTCTGCATAGACCTGCTCAGCCGCAGCGAGCTTGCTAGTGGCACAAAACCGAAGTTGCGGACATTCAGAGGCTCAACTTTATTCTTGCGAATGAGCAGAAGCCAGAGGCTACGTGAGAGCTAAGCAGAGGCTTTGCCCGTGTGGCTGGAGCTTTCGGCCGACAGACTGGTGAGATCCTGAGCTGCACGCAGTTCGCAGTGCTCGCAGTATGCGAAGCTTTACATTTCGCACGTCGCTTCACACCTATGGTAAGATATGCTGAGGCTGGGAGATGGCTCTTGCACTTTGCAGTGCAACGTGGCACGGTCTGCAGCCAGACGAGGCTCGGCCCGACACTTTGATAGCCTGCACACTCGCGATGTTCTATACTATGCTATAATATGTCATACTATAACTGACCATAATGTGCCATAGTGTACTATTTAATGGCTGCCGCCAATGC